ATATTTTCCTGTGTATTCTGATCAGTCTGGATCCATTTGATTAGAGTTTCTAACAAAAAAATCAGAAAGCACATCTTAGTTTGGGTTTTACGCTTTGTGGTGTTTTAGCACTTCTGTTGATTTTTTACCACATCTGCACAACTTGCAGACAGAGGTAAAAGCCAGATAGCAAATCAGAACAACACCTCCAAATAGCTCAGTAAGTGCTACCCTTCCCCCTTACTCTTATATCCATTAAGAGTTTAGGATGGTCAATAATTCCAGCCAAACATGGGTACCAACCATATTGATTTCACAGACAGGGAAGGAAGGTAGCCATTAATTGTACATTTCCTGTAGCCTTTGTAGTTGCTAAGACTCGCTAAGATACTTACCATAATGTTATTTCCACCACACTTTACTGAATAAAGGAGTAATTATTTTATTACTGTATTATTATGTGTTAGGTTTTTGTAAGAAATATACTGTGGGAGAGCACTTTAGCAAATTTCTTAGGCTTTTTTTTTTTTTTTTTTTTTCACGGAGGAGTAATCAATAACCTAAAAGAAAAGTGAGGAAAAGGTGAAATAGTCCATCATCTGCAAGGTAATTAATTCTGGCTAATTGCTCTTTGTAATGGAGCATTTTGTGGTGGGCATACTAGCTGCAGCTTTGTTCTCCGATTCCATTTGGCCCTGAAATATTAATCAACTATGGAGGTAGACAGTTCCCTCAGGGAAAACATAGATTAAAATCGAGAGTGGATATTGGATTTACAGTCCAAATTAATAATGCTTTAGGTCAAGGAATGGGCAATGTTTAAATAAGCAGATTGTCAAAACATATAACTTTATCATATACGGTAGCAGAAAAAAAAAACTCTACTTACCATATTCTCTTTAACGTAATCAGACTATTGCCTTTCTCTGTTGTCAATACAAATACTCGAGGCAAAAATAGATTTGTTTACTTTTTTATATCAAAAAAGGAAATAGATTATTTCATTTTGACATCAACAAACTTCTCAATTTACACATCAACAGAAGCCATATAATCACGCTATAACTTCAGAGGCACAAAAAACAGGAAACTTTTCACTATTTCAGGTCGTACATTTGTCGTTTTAGTCAAAATCGCATATTTAGATTTCAGCTGTAAGGTCAGTGAACATAGTGACAGTGAAATGCTATACAAGGGAAGGGGGAGATACATGTGGTTCTTCTGGGGGAGGGGGGGTATCCACCAAAAAAAAACACTATTCCAACTAAAAGTAGAGGGAAAGACAGAAAGAGAAAGAGGAACAGCAGCATAGCAACACATTCAGTGTAGACCACACCAAAACAAAAACAGAAACAAGAAGAAGAGCGTCTACCTCTCAGGTGGAGCTCTTTTTATCATTCTCATCTGGTGAGCAGCCCGTTCACAAACATATTGACTTTTTCTCATCAAATCTGTTTGTTTTGGGCTCTATTACTATATATTTATACACACAGTTTTGTTTGTTTTGTTTTTTTTTTTACAAGTTTTTGTACTCTACATTTAAAAACACAACTTCTAAACAACTGCATAAAAATGAATAAAACATTAACTGTCTATGACATTTGATCAGAGCTGTTACTATGAATTTATTGCTTTGTACACATAGTGATGTTTGGGGCCACCTGCACACTAATGTCTAACCAGGGTGGAGCCTCACTGCTGATGATCACCTCTACCTTGCAATATTACATGTCCAGCTGAAAAAAAGCAGTGTTTTTTTGTTTTGCTTTTTATATATATATATTTATATACCTTTGGTTGATTGTGCAAAGAAATCAAAGCATTAGTAACAGTTTCTGGGACAAAGACAGATTTAAAGTAAAAGTAGACAAATGGACATACAAATATGTACAAATTTCACTTTGTTCCATGCATAAATACACATCCACACACATCTACATTGTGCTGACAAGAGGTCTACATAAACAAGTGAAAAATTAAAAACAAGTTGGCCCCCTTCAGTGAAAACATAGAATGAATATTAAATGTGAATGCAATTGTCCTTTCTAGGGAGGAACATATGGAGCCCAAAAAGACAAAAAAAATCACTTTAGTTATTTGTAGTTGTCGATTTGCAATAAAACTACTGTCGATCTGCAGCAGTGTCATAATCTGGGGGTAAATTGAAGCAGGGAAAAAGAGTAGACTACATACAAACAGTAAAGAAAAGGCTTAGAGGTGTTCACAAGCTGAGTAAGCTTCAGCACTTCAATAGTATTTTAAAATCAAATTACAGTATACAATCACCTATATAGTTCTCACCCAAAAGTTAAGTTACAAATTTCTACTCTTATAGTTTTAAAAGATTTCTATCTCTAGATTACTTTTTCAATTTGCTAATTCTCCCAGCTTAGAATAGGACTCCTTTTATTTTTTATTTTATTTTTTCGTATGTCTACCTTCATCGCTTTATCAAGTAGTTATTGAGCGTGAAAAAATGCATTTAGCCATAATTTCTACCTGCAGAAAAGGTTATAGATAGTCACAAGGACATCTACTCTAGTCTAGCAATGATAGGTGGGTGGGATAGATGATTTTTTTTTTTTTTTAATCAACATCTGCCACCCTCAGGGCTCCATAGAAGACTTCTCCCCAGATTTCCAAACATAAAGGCATTTGTTTCAAGCTGATTATGGAGCATAAGATATCCATGTTTAGGCCCATTCAATAGAGGAAAAGCACAATGAGAAGTAAAAAAAAACCAAGAACACATTTGTGATTGCCATTTCAATTGTATCTTCACACCATAATTAAAAAATATCGTATCCTGCGAACATGTCTTAAGCATATTTGTAAACAGCTAGAAAATACTCATGTAGGAATGTTCAAAATGTTTGTATTAATCTAAAAGAATCATAAGATCCAACATTTGTTTGACATTAACATGGTATGGCATTTTTTTTCCAGCTTTGCTGTTTTCTCAAGCCAGGTAAAGAAAGAAAAGAACATGTAGGAAGAGAGGAATAACATGTTTGACAAAAGTGACTTAAGTGAAACTTAGCACAGAATCAGTCTTCATCATTTTAGTCTAAACATAAACATTGGATTCCTGCCAACTGGTTTCAAAACATGATACTATTCCTCATATGTTCTGAAACATGCAAAGTCACATTGCGTGGCAGTTAAATAATATTTTTTTTTTTATTATTTGATTAAAACATTTGTAGAGAGAATACTCTGCCAAGAGCTTATAAAGTAATCTAACATAACTCTGGAATAAATATTAACAAAATAAATTTGTCTAAAATGTTTAACATTATATATTTTTATTTAGTTTTAATTCTCTAATGTCCCAGAAAGATGAAATTAAACAGGATTTGTCAGCATGAGATCTAAAAATATGCATTCAAAGCTTTTCACCTCCTGGACGACTGTATTCATAATACCGTAACTTTTCTCTGCTGAGGATATTTCACTTTTATTCACAATAAAGATCTTTAGTTTTTTGCCTTTGTAGCATAATCATTTTTTTACTGATTTTGATTATTTCTTTTACTACTTCCATTGCACATATGCTCTTTTAAGGCCCAGTTTGACCACAGACATCTTGGTCCCACATGGTTCATTTTTAATCCTCAAACTGAAATATATATGTGCTCTTTAATATTTTCATATTTTCATCTTATAGATATAACATATCTATTTTAAGAATGCAATGGTTAACTAGATTTTAAATGGCTTGGCAGTGAGGTGAAGAATAATTTCTGGAATAAACCACATTATGATTTATTAGTTTGCAAATATCTGACTTTAAACTGCAGATGTACTCTGTTATCAAGTTGACAATAAGTACGACATTTAAGCAACCTCATGTTTGAACAAAACACTCATCAAAATCAATGTCTTTTTGAATCTGATGTATAACGGTCTTTTACATCCATAAGCCAGTGATAAGAGACTACATGAAACTTGTGCACTGAAAGAACACACCTGTCAAAAGAGATATGGGGCCGTCTATACCGACGGAATGTCTAGTTTGTGAATGTCTAGTCAGTGCTGTGGTTTAACATAATTACCAGGGGGCTTCTTGTATGTTGTTACCTTAATATCTATCAAGTCAGTGTGCTTTTATGTAATCCCAAAGGCTTCAGTATGGTCTAAAAGCATCAGCTGATAGTATGAAAATGTACAATTTTACTCACAATTGCACTACAAATAAATATCTATTATAAATATGCATAATAGTACATTTACATACTGCCAATTTGATATGTGCTACACCTATAGCCATCATAAAAGTTTTGATTCTTATTTTAGTCTATATATATATATATATATATATATATATATATATATATATATATATATATATATATATATATATATATATACAGAGATGGGAAGTAACGAAGTACAAATACTTCGTTACTGTACTCAAGTAGATTTTTCTGATATTTTTACTTTACTTTACTACTTATTTTTATGGTGACTTTTTACTTCTACTCCTTACATTTTTACACAAATATCTGTACTTTCTACTCCTTACATTTTAAAAAATTGGCTCGTTACTTTAGTTTTGAATAATTTCAAAGGAGTTACCGTTATTATTTTTCACGCCATCAATACCAAATTCAATCTAATTGGATGGGAATCTATGTTGCATTTGACGCACCACTACAAGATGAATCGACAGATTCGGCGGTATTCAATCGCTGCAAATCATTGCAGCTTGGTGGCGGTGGCGTTAGCATAGTAGTATGGACGACGAGATGATTGAAAATGAACACAACGGAGATCTAGTCCTATTGGCAGACATCCATTTAAAATGTAGGCAACGGCATGAAAAAAGTGGTTTCTACTTTTACTTTTATACTTTAAGTAAATTTACAAGCTTGTACTTTGTTACTTTTACTTGAGTAAAGAAGTTTAATCAGTACTTCCACTTTTACCAGAGTATTTTTTAACACAAGTATCTGTACTTTTACTCAAGTACGGAAAGTGAGTACTTTTGCCATCTCTGTATATATATATATATATATATGTTTAATTTCTAGATTTTGATAATTTTTATGGTTTTTTGTGCAAACAATAACACAATGGATCATAGCTTTTCTGGTTTATCATTTGTTGATAGATGAACACTCAGGAAACCCAAGAAATAAAGTCAACTTGTGTGCCACTGACTTTGTGTTTGGTCTAAGAATAGCCTTCTCCCTGCCTGTATCCATAGCCTTCCTGTGCCTCCTCCTGGACATACTCCTCCGTCTTCTCCCAGCCGGTAGCCCAGCCTCCGTTTACCTGTGTGGTAGCACCGTATGTTTTGGCTGCACCCCCAAAAGCTCCATAACTCTGGGTGATGTCACCAGTCTCCTCCGCCAGTTCATCTTCATCGATGAACCCACATTTTTCCTCACTAGTGAGTTCGGGGTCGGCCCACGGCTGTTTTTCTCCAGATGCAAAGATCCCATAGAAGACGACGCCACCGTAGTGCACCAGCGAGGCTATCAGGAATACATACTGCCACTCCTCTCGAGTCTGTAGAAAAGAAGAGGAAATGCAATTTATGTGCATACTGAAACACCAAGTAATCAAAAAGCTCTGGTTGTCAGTAAAGTGAAGACAGTGCTTTATAATCTTTGGTAAGAACTTGGATCTGTTATCCACGTGCCAGCTATCAAGAGAAATCATAATCATAAAAATCAGTTCTATTTCTGTTACGGTTGGAATTATAGAAAAAATCTTATGTACATTGTCAGGTCAAAAGTGAGAAACACATACAAAAATAATGTTTAGTTATTTGTTTAAATTCCTCCCCCCAAAATACACTCACTGAATATAACTAACCTTCTTTATGTAAAATTGTAATGGGAATTAGCATTGTACTTCTGTTCAATCTCATAGATTTGCAGCTGAATTACTCTTATTGCATTTTATTCTATGTTATAGTAAGTGACCACAACCAACAAGGTTTTCCCTGCAAACTCTTACAGGATTCTATGCCAAAACTACAAAAAGTAAATAATTGTATGATTTTTATCAAAATCGTTACTATCAGTTCTAGCTTGTTAGCTGCTATTATTTATTTGGTTTGATGCAACCTTAGCTTGTAAGCAACCTTTTTACCTGTTTGCAGTTTACCCAGATTTAGCTCAATGGGCAGGTGAAGTTTTATTTTATCATACGATCATTTTTGTGTATGATATAAATAATTTGCAGGCTGTACAGTAACTAAGTACCTAAACTTTTATACAGCATGTAATTAATTGTTTTAAGGATCAATACTTTACTGAGTATTTTTTATTTCTATTGAGGTACATTAGATATGCAAAAATTTTACTTATACTTCTTTACTTAAAAATCTATGACATTTTTTGTCGTTACAAATTAAAACATGGCCGACATTTATCACAAGAGGATTTGTTTATGTTGAATCCGCATGTGAATAAGAGGAGAAGATCTGCACTTTGTTTATCCTGTTCAATACTCCTTAGTAGATGGAGGTGATAATGCACTATATAGTTATTTGCCCAATTTGTTCATTTCATTTTTAATTTTTTTGAGCATGCCTGTTTACAAACAGAAATTGTTGTTTCTTTTATTTCTCTAGAGGGGTAAAATAAATTCTCTTTGCGCTACATTTGATTCTAAATATTGTCCTTAAAGCCAATAAACTCAACCCCTACTGTTAGACCATTCTGTATTATTGGTAGTAAAGTGTAGTAAAATATTTTTGTTTTGTTTTATCATTTTGACACAATGCAGTTTTTCTTTCTCAAACATAGTGGACAAATTTTATCTTGTATTCTTCCAAAGGTTTTTTTTAGGCCCAGTCCCATTTGTCTCACTTGGTCTGAAGGGATCCTTTTTAAGGGTTGGAGGGCACTTCTCCCAGCTATTAAAATTATAGGGACACACTAACTTTACATCTGAACGCGCAAAACCGAGTGCTAGAGTCCAAAATGAGTGCAATTGAGAGAAATGGGACGAGGCTTTAGTTTTCTCAGGCAGACCGCTGGATTCATGTCGTTTAACACTATCCAGTGGTGTTCTAAAAATCTTATGGACTGTACTAGTTGAATACTGTTTTTTAAGGCTTTGTGGGTTTTCAACAAATTCCATCTCCATTGTCTAAGAGTAGTAAAAGGACCAATAACAACAAACAAAAAAATTGCTTTTACCTTCCCAATCATTGTTAACATTTTATTGACTTTTATTTAAGTACTTTTCTCAGCAGGGGTTTTAACTTTTACCAAAGTAATTATATGGTACTTTGTATTCACTTTTTCATTGTTATTTCTTTGTACTTTACACACCTCTGATTATTTGTTTGAAGAAAAAAAAAGGATATTGTAATTATTTGGATCTGTCATTCCTCCATTGGAATTTTTTGCTTCCAGATGTTATCTGAAGATCTTCATTATGTTCGTATCCAGTGAATAAGGATTTACCTTGTTTTTTGTCATAGCACCGACAATTAATGGGCACACCATCCCAGATAGTGTACCAACACCATTAGAGATGCCCATTAGGATACTGGCATAACGAGGAGCGATGTCCAGGTGGTTCACATTAAAACCTGTTGGTATCAAACATAGCATGAAATTAAAACACTGGTGACGCATTCATCTTCTTTTAAACTGCTATATTTATGGACCTGCAACAGAATGATACAAGTAAAGCTGAACATAAAAGCAGCACAAATGCAGACTATCTTGTTGCAGAAATAGGCATCGACTCGCAACACATCCACCTCCCTCCCCCACTCTGACGGGCTGAATGAGTAAGTCTCATCGTGAGCTGCTGCACACTGCCTGCCTTGCGTATCCCCCGAGACAGCTCACACTGAATTATTAAAGAATCTGGCAGAAAGCTTGAGAGGAAGAGGGAAGAAACTGATTTTGCACACAGACCTCTGCATCCTTTGTTCTGAACAGAGATATGAGCTATGAGATCTGTGAATGATTGGAAGATAAAAAAGATCACTATGAGCTACATGATGTCTAAAGTCTAAAGACAAAAAAGCTGAAATAAATTTGGACTTTTTCAACAAGATAAATTATGCTTAAAATAAGCATTAATTTCCATATATATATATATATATATATATATATATATATATATATATATATATATATATATATATATATATAATGAACAGAGCAGTCTGTCATAATCTTCACTTTGTACTTTACATTGATATCACAAACCTGATATTGCAAATCCACTGAAGCCCACTGCCAGCACAAGGAAGGAGATTGCCACCGGTTTGCTGTGGGAATACCCCACCACCAGCAGCAATGTGGCTTCCATGCCAAATCCTAGCAGAGAGAGAGAGACAGCAGGTCACACATGGACACACAAAGTACACAAAAAGCCCGTTGGCCACTCTCTGGTCATCACTGTGCCAATTGAATTAAGTCTGATACATCCTCTGCACTCAATTACATAGGTGACAGATATGAAATCAATGCACAGTGACCCACACACACAATGAGTCAATGTAAGAGATGAAGATTTGAACAGATAGATTTTACAAAGTTGTAAGGGTCGCCTTTTAAACTCTTCTGTCAGGCGAGAAAAAACGAACGTTACAAAAAAAGCATGGTTCAGACACCCTGTGGTGGAGCAGGGAGAGGTGTGGAAATGTTTTTTTTTTTACTCATCCTTGGCTCAGCCTTCTCACCTCCACAGTTCATTATTTTCCTGACAGTGGTTGTTGTCATAATGTTCCTGCTGCGCAGGTAGTCTGCCAGCTGACCGCCAAAGGGCACAACGATGGTCATCACCAGGTGGGGGAGAGCAGAGAGTATACCCACCTGCAGATAAGAAAAAAAACAAGCACATCATCCCCTAAATCAAAAAACTACTTAAGATACAGATAATGTCTGTTGAATTAAAACGGTGACATTTTAATAGTAGTCATTCCTGTCTTGTTATCACCTGTCTCTTGATTTAAAATTATTTCTCTTAAAGAGATGGATGAAAGGACCTGTTTGTTCCATGTAAGCATGGTGAGTTTGTCACTTCTGGTGCCTTTTGGAAATTGGTTGCTTTTTCACATTTTCTCTACTTTCTTTGTACCTGATGTGTCATTGGTTCTGCCTCACAGCTCAATGCTACAGAAAGAGGCAACAGTGTTCATAAAGAAAAAAAAACATTTGTTGGGAAATGCTAAGGTATTAAACCATACATCAAAGAAAAAATTACTAATGTCCATAAGTAAAATCGATGAAAAACAATCAGATGGCCTCTAAAATTCAGAAAATATTCAGAGTATTTAATGTGGTTAAGAATAACAAAACCCTTTGATTGGTTATGTAGAGGAAAATATACTGAGTGGGCTGGCATGGATTGTAGAATAACATTTGTTACCATCTTGCTTCAATACAGACATACTTAAAGGTTATTATGGTTAACAAAGTGGATAAAGTCTATTTGGTTTGGAAAAATGCATCTTTTACACACCTTGAAATCATGTATTTGTGCTGCCTGGTGCATTTGATTCTCTGATAAATATTTCCAGACTCTACTTAAGCTGAAGTATCAATTGTTATCTATTTAATTATTCTATATGCAGCATGACCCACCTTGCTAATCTCAAAGCCAAACACCTCCTCAAAGTATGCAGGCTGACTGATGAGCAGCAGGTAGAAGGTCCAGCTTCTGCAGAAGTTTGCCACAATGATTGCATAGACAGGCATAGAGGTGAAGAACTTCCTCCAAGGCGTCTTGAATTTCTAGAAGGGATCATAACATATTATTTACTACAGTCAGAGTAATTGCTTAATTAAATTAAATCAAACCAAACAGTACATTGTAATTCCTATATCTAAGTGGTGCCTTCCTACCTCTGAAGGGCCCATCAGCTTGGCACTTTCCCCAATGCTCTCCTCTATATAGACACGTTCCTCATCAGTGATGGTAGGATGGTCAGCAGGGCTCTCATAAGAGACAAGAATCCAGAACATGTACCAGAAAATACCAAAGCATCCTGCAAGAAGAACATTTTAAAAAACTATTTTTAATTACAGGTGAAGTACAGAAGATAATTCAAATCTTAAAAGTGACAATTTGCTGGATATGTCAACAAAAATGCCTAAGAGAATAAAACCCAGACAGGAGAGCAAACTGTATCCTGTCTGGAGAGAAAGACGGGGCTATTTATTGACAAACCAAAACAACGGGGGAGGAAATCAATACTCGGGCTGCCTGGATAAATCCGTTTGACTTTCACCGGACTCTCTAGTTGTCACACTCTAAAGCTTAGAAACCCTTCCACCATTACCAACACAAAAGATCCCATTTAAAAACCAAAAACAAAACAAAAAGTTTCCCATTCACTTACCATAGACATAAAACACTGAGGACCATCCTGTGTACTGGACAAGGATTCCAGCTAGAGGCATTGCTATCACAGCACCAGCATAGGAGCCTGAGAAAAACATCACCACATTCAAGATAAACAACGTCTTAATTACAGTCAAAACCTGCAGGTCTATGGTTCTGTAGCTTGTTTGTCAATGAAAAATTATTATTTACCACAAAATGAGAGGGTAGCCAGACGGCTCCTTTCTAGTGGTGGAGCCCACTTGCTCCAGATGCCGTGACAGGCAGGGTAAGTCACTCCCTGAACACACCAGATTGGAGGGTAACTATTAACTCACCATTAATAGTGGCAGTAAACACAGATGATGTGTGCATTCATACAAAAGCAGACATTTGAATATGAATTATAAGCTATATTTACATTCAAGGGTTCAAATTTTTTATTATTACACTAATGCAATGTCGAACATGAGTTTTTCATAAGGTTTTATTTTAGCCGAGTCCAGGGTACCCTTGCAATCAGGAAAACACTATAAATGCATAATGCTGAATGTAGTAACAGAAAAGAAAACTTTCACCCCTGTTTCTAATAAACAAGTAGCATAACAGGGATTTGGATATTACATTTTTATTGGCTGTAGCTAAAAACAATTGTGCAGGAGAATGCAGTCTCTTTTTCACTGCAGGAGAACAATCTAGATTTACAGAATGTACTACTACATGGCAATACCTTATTCCCTTTCCCCATCATGCTTTTAAATATCAGAACTATAAAAAAGGGTGTTGTTACACTTAACAACAGAAAATTCACATGACATACAAGATTATTGAGTGTCATGTGCTGACCCCTTACTGACCATAAATGCTGTTTTGCTCATGTTAGAAAGTGAACTATAATGACCCACTGAATCTTAAAAATCAAGCAGTCTTCTGTGTTTCTGGTTTTGCGCACAATAAATGCACATTCATAAAGTAATACTTTCTATTGCAAAAGAAAATAAGGTGTCATTACATTTAACAATAGAAAATGCACATGGCATGCAAGTTTATCTGTTTTTATTTCACAGTGAAAAAACCGAGCGATGTGACTTAGAGAAGCATTTCCAATTTCATATATGGGGTGGGGGGGTGGGGCTCTGCTGCTGGGTATCCAGGATACAAAGCATGACGTAAGAGATACTGAGCTTGAATGTCCTACAAAAACAAACTGTAGTGGATCCGATCAATAAAGCTCATCTCATATTTCCTCTGGCTGCATACAGTTATCCACTGCATTTGTTTTAGTTGGAATAAACCTGGATATATGCAATAAATGCAATAGAAAACATTTTAAATGTTGTTCTTTTGTGTCAAAGCATTAAAGTAGAACAATATGATATTACCTCCACCAGTCCTTGTAATATTCTGACAAAAATGACACACCCATAGTGGACACGCGCAGCAGAGGGAATGAACATGTTGAGAGTTGAGGTGAGGACAATTGCTGCACCAAATACCCTGCAGAAAAAAAAGGACATTTAGGCTCTGTGGCATCAAGTAATATTTATTTTATCTATTTAAGCTTTTTTTGCAGCCGGTATTATTTAACGGACAAATTATTTATATATAATAAATTATATATATATATATATATATATATATATATATATATATATATATATATATATATATATATATATATATATATATATATATATATATATATATATATATATATATATATATATATATATATATATATATATATATATATATAAAGCATTCTGTGCAGATGATTTGGGCTTGCTATCTTTCAGTCATCACGTGAAATCATTATATATATCCAAGAAAGTTACAGGAAAATAAAACACCATACGTTTTATGTATTTATCTTTTTTATCTTAAAGGGAGAGGGGAGAGTATAGGCAACATCTGAGCGAAGGCCTCGAAAGACAACACATTTGTCATTTCCGCCACGTTCTCAAACCTCACTCAGCAGCACGTGGGGGACAAGCCCTAATCCGGCGGAGGCCACTGTGGGGCACGCGACCAAATGATTAGATTAAATTGCACGCGTCAATCAAGCGGGTGAGCCACGCACAATCACGTTAGAAAAATATCATTTAAAGGAAGAAAGGTTTGTATGACATTTAAAACTTGCTGTCTGAGTAACACTTTGATGACGTACCTTCATAATTAATACTATATATATATATATATATATATATATATATATATATATATATATATATATATATATATATATATATATATATATATATATATATATATATATATATAATTATTATTATTATTTCTTTACAAGTATGCACTATCATAGTAAGCCTATTATTTGGTGCCTGTATCGTGAGATGTGTGTAATTATAATGACCAAGACACTGGCAGGGGAATTAAAGCATTTGGCAAGGAAAGCGGGTCTGGTATCCATGCCCTGTGAGAGCGACAGATTAGACCCGGGTCTCCTCAGGGAGCTCATTAACAGGTGGCACAAAGCCTTGACACCCGCAGGGCCGCCAGCCCGCTGCCCTACTGTCTGCTGCTTATTGGAGTCATTCTGTTTTACAGCTCTGGACTCATCATGTGCGGGTTTTATCTCGCCTGATCTGCATAGATTTAATTCTGCTGCTTTGAATAGATTTTTTTTAATTATTCAGATTTTATTTTCTCTGTTTATTACATGCACAAATAGAAGAACGAGACATTTGTTTTTAATAAGCCATGTAAAAAAATGTAAATCTTATTAATACAATTCTAAACAAATGTAAAAACTTAGTCGTGCTGTTGTTATTATCTTTATTATCATCTTCATTATTATTTATGGAAATAATCGACCTGTTTGCTGCGAGCCTCGAGGAAATGTATCCTCCTGGGATTTGCGTCACAATGTAGCCCCAGAAAAAAGATCCATGGATCATTCCAACTGTCTCCGGGTCCCAGTTAAACTTGGCTTTCTGGTGGATAAATAGATCATATTACTGAGATGACACTGCATATTTTTTTTTTTTTTTTTGGTTTATAAACAGTTATTTTAGTGAAAGCTGTCACATTGAACTGCATTGATCTGATTCAATCACAGCGGCACTACTATAGAAAAATACTATTCCCAATGAAAGAAAAGTGTGCAAAAAATATGATATTTTAGGGTTTTAATGAATATTAAACACTGGTAAAATAAAAAATAAATAAAATAAACCCAACTGGGGAATCAAATTAAAAAAAAACATTAAATAATTTGCGTTACAAAAAATGTCAGCCGGCTTTACATTACTGTATAGCAGGCTGTTTTAAACGTTTATTATCCATAATGAAGATGAGTAAATGGAGATTGTTGAATGGATTATTCTACTGATACATATAGGCAGCAACAGGCCTTATGGTAAATACACTCTCTTTTTTTGTTTTTTCGTTTTCCTTTCAAACTAAATTAAAAATATAATCTTATGGATGTTCATCAGATTTTTTCCCAACATGCGTAAAAGCGTGTCTGCGTTAGTCCCACCTCCTTGATGATAATCTTGCCGTTCTGGTGGATGGTGCTGTTATTAACCATGCTCACGATTGCCACGCCCAGGTTGCATCGGATGCCGAAGGAGATGCAGAAACCCAAGCCACTCATGATGGCGATGATGTACCGGCGCGGCAAACCGAAGCACTTGCAGTCGCATAGAGGAGGTTTCTTCTCGGCGGCCTCCCGAGGCCTCCCATCCTCAGTCAGCTCGATCACCTCGCCTGTTTTCTGTCTCCTCTCTATCACCCTGCAGACAGGTGAAGGAAACACCGCCTGCTGAGTCCTGACTCAAATACTATTCTTCATATGAGATCGGGATGCTGTTTGAAATAATCTAAACCAAAAAACAAGGTAATCTTAAAAAGGGGAACATAATCTCCAAGCATTTTTCAGGATCTTTTATTGTAAGCTATGGGCTTTGATTTGGGGGTGTTATCCAAAAAATATTTCACATAATAATGAGAATTACAATGGCAAATGTGCCTGATGAAGCCTCTGGAACAAACATGCTTTACATCAATATGTTTCACCATCCCATTGCGCCATCACACTTTATTACGTTTAGGATTAAACAAAAACCCAGAATAAATAACACAAATACATAAGAAACAACAACGTGTGTGCTCAAAATAAATAAACTCAAAGAAATAGAAACAAAAAAGAAGTTTGGCCTGTAAAATGAAAAGAGGATCAAAATGTTCTTGACTGTACCGCATTGCAGCAGCCTTTTACTTTCTCGCTCATTAGTATTCAGGGACACAGTACCAGCTCCCGACTGCAGACACTCGTCTGTGGGCTTTCCTCGAACATCCCCCCACCCCACCCCATCCTCAGCAAAATCACGTTCATTTACAAACTGATATCCCAAACATTCCGATGGCAAAAAAAAAGAAAGAAAGAAAGAAAAAAGGCGCACACACCCATTTAAAACCTGGCTACGATGAGCAGACAGTGTCACTTACAAAGAATTCATAAAATCTACTGTAAAATAAATTAGTAAAGGCATTGATCCTGATTACAATACTAATTCAGATTTATTTCACTTCAAGTGTACAATGCACCATGCGTAGGCCTATCTAAAGCTGAAACAAAAATCCAGAATGGGGATAAGTGTTCTATAAATGCCACTAATAGCCTTGAGAAATGCATTTTTCGACTATATGAAAAAAAAAAATAACGTAATAGAATAAATGCAATTTGGGGATCGTAAAAAGGGATTTCTGATTTATGTTAAGGCAAACAGAGCCATTCGAAATGATTAAACTGTCGTTAAACATGGAGAAATCAGTACGCCAATCCTTATTTGCCAATAAACTGCATGTAAAGGCCCCATCATCCAGAGGCATCCAAATCCTGCAAAGATTGCTCACACGCACGCTCGTGGGATTACATAATATTACTCTCACTTGTAGCGGTGCGACTGCAGTTTCCTGTGAATCATTAAGACATTAATTTAGCCCATACAAACACTGTAATATAAGGTTGTGAAAATCCAGCAAATTAGCATTAAGTTGCCTAATTAAACGGCGCAAGAAGAAACCAACAAATCCTACCCCTACCTGTACATCTGACCCAGGGTCTTCCCCGCAAATTCCTTGACCCCTGTCGCGGCTTTCGTCTTCATGGACTCCATGCCCAGTTTTTGTTGGCTGGCTTGTTTTCTTAGAGAAAATAATGTTAGTGCCTCAGGGTCATGTTACAGCGCAGGATGGCCGGCTACAGCGGCTAACGGCAGGAAAGCGGCACAACGAAGGTAGATGGAATCTAAACCCAGGCGATTAGGCGACTATCCAGAAGACGAGTTCTTATTTTCAGCGCAATTGTGACAAAACCCTTGTGACGAAAACACCTTTTCATAAACTGAGGTATTCAAACGAGGTGTGCGCCCTCATCCACCAGCAGGTCTCCTCCTGCCTGGAGTACAGTAGCCGCGCAAAGTGCCATCACGACCAAAGACAAATGAAAGTGAGAGCCAGAAGCGTCAGAGATTAGACTGAGTTTACGACAGAAACATGGACAAAGCGGTGTACTGCCTTAGAAAAATACCAAATAGAAAAAGTAAAATAAAAAGATAAAAAAAAAAAAAAAAAAAAAAAAAACTGGGGCGTTGGAGTAGTAAGAAATAAAAGAGGGAGGGAGTTAGTCTCTCCTGTGATGAGCGCAGGTTCATCTGACGTCGTGTTCAGCACCGAGGTCAGCGACAGCAGCTGCGTCCGACATCTGCACAGCTGTTTTAAAGGTTTTTTGTGTGTCTGTATTATATATATATATATATATATATATATATATATATATATATATATATATATATATATATATATATATATATATATATATATATATATATATATATATATATATATATATATATATATATATATATATATATATATATATATGTGTATATATATGTGTGTGTGTGTGTGTGTGTGTGTGTGTGTGTGTGTGTGTGTTATTTGTTTTCTTCTACAGAACATCTCATAGAAATCTGCAAATATCTTTCTGTTGTGTTACAACCTATTTCTAAACAACGCAGTTAATGCAGACCATGTCCGGTTTTATTGAAAAGGAAAAAAAAAAAAAAAAACAAGGACAGTAACCCTAAAAATGAAAGCTGCTGCTCTCCTGAGGGAGGGCGGTACTATGGTAACCAGATGAACAGAACCAACACCACTCCCCCACCACCCTTTTTTTTCTCCTTCAACAAGCTACTCTCTCCAGCGCTGGAATCCATCAATAATTCAAGCATCTTTGCTATTCCAATGTTTCCGGACAACCACCATTCACTGGCAAAAATGAACCACATTTTTGAGGCATCATTATCTTCTTGCTTTATTGTTCTCTTCGTCTCGTGGCATTAGCACTGCTTTGCAGCATCAGCTTTCATTTCTTTGGGTTACTATCCTTCATTTTTAATTTTATTTTGCGCGCAAAAATAATAACTATGATGATTTAGATACAAACGCAATATGAACACCGTCCAATTAGAACTAAATAAGTAAGTCAATTAATAAGTAAATAGAAAATAAATGCAGTTTTAGAAAAGCAAGTGTCATAATCAGTAGTTACAGGGAAAAGAAAAGCGAGGCTCACGCTTCTCTTCATTCGTGGGTATTGGTTGCCCCCTGGTGGCAATAAATGAATGACAGTCTTGAATATTTTTTTTTTTACTTTACCGTTTGAGATGTGCTTTGTGTTTCGATCAGTGACGTGCGGTGAGGTTCATAGCTGGTGAGGCACTGACGTCATCAGAATCAGATTTGCAAATAGATGCATAGATTGACAGCAGTTTACAGGTTATGTTTCACTTCTGCATCCTTACACATACAAACTGTAGCTCACAAAACACACATTTCCTTAAAAAACAAAACAAAATAAATGTTATTACTGTCTTACCTTTACTTATAAATGAATAGAAGTCCTCCTTATCTTCCTTCAGTTTTAAAAGTCTCTCTGTCTCAATGGAGATCACTGCCAGGGAAGAAAGCCTTCCTTGATCCGTCCTGTTCCTGCCTTATGTTTTCAGTCTCTTGAGCACCCCCTGCCATGAGGCAAGAGAACTGCCTGCCTCACCTCGAACTTGTTCTCTGCCGTTTATAATCGCTCATTACACGAAACACGTTACACAAACACAGTTGGTGACAAAAAGCTCTGTACATTATATACATAAGCCAAATTATTAGAAATAAGTTCACATATTACATTTGTTTAAACCATTTTATTGACGCCGTACAGCAACATGCTCTCTCCGCTTTGCAGCCAGCGCAGAGCCAGGGGTTGCGCAATCCAAGGTGAGGCAGAGCTCGCTGCTGCCTCACCGGCATCGCTTCCAAGCATTTGAATGGGAAAATAAGAAAATTCAGCGATTTTGAACAAATAAAAATCGAAATTGGTGAAGCTACATGAAAAATGAATATTTTTTAGTACAAACCACCGGATGAATATAACAATTTAAATTACTTTATGATTATATATTTTCTTTCTTTCCATGATGGCTGGTGAGGCACTGCCTCACCTGCCTCCCCTGACCGCACGTCACTGGTTTCGATTTAGATAAACAATCCATTACTTCACACTCCCTTATAGAGATATTTGGCTGCAGTTCTTACTTTCCCACTGAGAAAAATAGTCAGCATAAAAAGCTTCGTTATCTGCCTTTGGAACAAAACAAAAACAAACAGAAATTATTTTGTTCTTATCGAAAAACACAGTTCTTGTGAAATCTTTGGGCATATTCACAAGCTTGAAAGTGACTTTTTACTAGCCCTTATTTATAGTTCCAGAAACCCCACATTAAATACCCTTTATTTCATTTATAAGTATGTCCACAAGGCAACATGTACATATATTTTCTACATTCGGTTTACTGAAAATAAACCAAGAGTATTTAAACATGTTCATATTTCAATAATTCCACAAGTGAGAAATAGAAAGCAACTAAAGTCTCCATTGTGAGATCAGTAAAGTTCACTATATCTATTTATTTGTAATTGATGGACTCATGGACTCATCTCTTACATAAAGCTACTTCCATCTTAATTTTTTTTGTTGTTTTTTTGCAATGTTTTGGACCTTTGTTGACTTTTGTCTCCTGATTGCTTTCACTCTGCTTTACTTTAGCTATGTCTGTGAGTACTAAAAACCCCTAGTCTCTAGGTTACACCAGCAGAAAGGGTTCCTGGTAGCTTCATGTTTAAATATTTACTAATCTGTTATTGTTGTTTTTCCCTCTGCAAGTAACAACCAATTGGATGAGAATCTTTGACAGTTTTCTAAGCACAGGGTATTTCAAGGATCCATCTTTTTTTAAATAACTTTTGTAGTATTTTGACTGCCTTCGAGAATTAAATCTTATTTTTATCCTAATTCATAAAAAGAAAAGTAGCTACCCAACACATATATTTTTTAGGTATTACTTTCCTTAGGATAAAACCCTCTCTGATTGCAAAAAAACAAAAAAAAAACAAAAAAAACACATCACATGCTCAAATACTATTTATTATACCACTATGATTAAGTAAAAAAAAAAAACCAATGACCTTATTTTTTGTGCACATTTTGCATAAATCTGTTTAGGTGTTCTGATAAAACCGAGATTCAGATTTCTGTTAATAAATTCTTCTGTGTTGCGCTTTCCTGATTGAAAAACAAGCTTGTGTTGTTTATGATTTATGAATGAAATTAATCAAAAGTTTAGACATCAGCAGGTACTGGTGTGTACGTTTTTGTGTCTATCAGAAGTGTCATGCAGTTTAAAGGTTAAGAGAGTGATTGAATTCTCTTATTGAGAACATTTATTGGTTTGCAGTAACAAACAAAACACATGCTTTAAGAGATTATGTTCATATTTAATAAGTTATAGAAACTAAAAAGAAAAAAACAAAATTTACACTTTGACAATATGCAGTAAAACTGGGAAGACTGCAAGCAGTAACCAACTGCAACAAATAGCATCATACAATACATTAAACAAATGTTTCATTATAAACACATAAAACATGTAAACACATATGTTTAAGGCATTTTATTGTTTGGGAAGCCACAATGCCACATGCATAATTAAGTTTATATGATGTATCTGTGCATAGCAAGTGATAATCAGCAAGAAGTTGATTGCTTTTAAACATGAGACTAAAGAGGCTAGATGTACGCTGCCAATGTAATACCTGTTCATAACAAAAATAAAAGGCCAATGAACGATATTTGAATTATAAACACAGAGATCCAAACATTTACAATAGCATACATTTTTCTTTTTTTTAAATAATGTAAACTGCTTTGCGATCCAATGGCTTCATAAAGCACAGCTTTTTAATCTTAACTGGTTCCAGATAGATAAAAAAATATTTTTAAAGGAAATGCTGAAAAATAACACTTATATGGAAGTAAGGGTAATGTTGGATAAGGACACTGTTTTATGGCAATTTCTAGAGAAAAGAAGAATATTGAGACACCAGCAAATCAGATAAGACAATAACACAATACAAAGAACTGAATGCAGCCAAACTATATAAAAAAAATGTTTGCAATTTGTTATTGTATCTACAATACCTTGCAAATATCATAATAGTGTAACCTGGAGTAATTTAACACCAGAAGCTTAATAATGTAATGTTAAACAAAATGAATAACGTTTATATACCAGGTAGATTACTAAAAGGTTTTTCTAAGCAAATCTTTTAACTCTTCAATTCCACAGAAACAATGAGATTTACAGTGTGCATACATTTATTTACATAGAAATAAAAATATTTTACCTAAACTCGAAGAACTGATATTCGTGTAGATCTGCAAACATTTCGAAAGGTTTCTTTTGGCAGTTGTTTGTGGTCCCTATAGAAGCTGATAACAAACGTGAAAGTTAGATTGCAAGCCTGCAGCTCCTAATCAGAGAAATAAATCACTTCTGATTGTTGGTATCGCCACAGTGAGGTACTTGGTTTTTTCAATGCACTGTTTAGATTTACCTAAATACAAATACCATAACAATCAAACTCTTATAGCTCTATTTAGATCAGAGCTACTGACAAATATGTAGCTACCAGTATGAAAGGAAAAAGAGTGGATAAGTACTCAGTGTTTACTACATTTATATTTAAATGTCCGATCCCATTTCATTCAAAAAAGAGTTTTCTTCTTTAATAAATAAATCCTTTATGTTACATTGCAGAAAATGCGTAAAAATAGGGACATCATAACCACATCCTTAAAAGTGTTTACACTATACATAGAACTTTTACTAGCCCATATTGGGTTTACTTTCACATAAACGTGGAAAGCTTTAAGGCTTTAAGAGGATATTTCATAGAAAAGAAGAAAGGTAAGGTACAGGATCCTTTTCTTTGTTTATGATTTCTATTCAGACCACCTCCAAATATTTCTGATCATTTCATAAAGATGTTACATAAAAGCAAAATAAAACAATATCCACATTATCGCAGCACTCAAAGTTATCAAGGCTCATCTGTATTGAAAGAAAACTGACTTTTATGCTTCTGAGGGAATTATTATTATTTCAGATTGTTTGATTCAGGTTACGAACTCTCAGAAACCACTTCATGTTCGTCCAGTGTGAGGGATGTTCCCGAATGAGGCA